CCCCAAAACCCCAAAACCCCAAAACCCCAAAACCCCATGTGATAGTTTCATTATTTATGCCATAGTTTAGAGGAAAAAATAAAATGAAGAGCATTAAACAATTATAATTTTCATGAAGGAAAAGTAATGTGATAATTAAGCCTGTATATTTAATGAGTAAACAGAGTAATCTTTAAGTTGAAATTATAGTTGATTCTAGATAATTTAATAAAACATTTAGTCTGTCAATAGGATTGCAGAGAATCTAAGATTTGTAACAGCATTGTATCTCTGAAATTATGAGATAGATTGCTGGCTCTTATAGTCTCTCAAAATATCGTGCAGCAGCTTTTATTTTCTCCCTTTGCACTCATATCGGTATTATATTTCTTGTATGATTCCACGATATGTATTTCATGCAAAGGTTTATTGATAATTTTATGATCTGCAAATACAAGTTTATGCCTCTTTCCTCCCTTGCTTATTTTATTCCCATAGGCATCTTTCCTCACTTTTTTCGGATGAGAGTCATCATCTTTGGTATTATTATTTGAGTCATTTGCATCGATACTATTAGTCATTTTGCTTTGAAGTTTTATAGATTTGAGTCTTCTTGGAGTGCTATATAAACCACTATCACTCTGACTATTGTCAATATCATACTGATTCTCTCCTTTTTTGGAAGCACCTGAAGCCCTCATTGAGTAGAACTTTTCATCATCTTCATCTTCTCTGTCATTGTTGATAGAAACTCCTCTATTAATGGAGATTCCGGTTTTAACAGTAAAGGAAGCAGTCATTGGTTCTTAGTTTGGCATTTTTCTTACTTTAAATTATAATGGAATTAAAGATTAATATTTATATTTAGATCAAAGACCTTAAAATAACTCAAAAGAGATATGAAATTCAAAGCTTATGCTTCTTAAAACCAGGTCCCTTTGGTCTCTTTGCAGTACTTCCTAGAAATAGATTATTTGAGGTGCTGTTCTAAATGAAGGACTTTGAGGTGGCGTTTGCTCCAACAGAATCAGATGGTTTTCTCTTTTTAACTAAGCCAGTATGTTACTATTATTTCTTAATATCATCTACCGATATATTATTTGCCCCAATATTTGTGTTTGTGTTAGATTGCTATGTTGTTGAGATAAATGCAGCCATATTATTGGAGGAAGCATGGGTGTTTCCTGAGTTTAGATTTTGTTAAGCTCTATTTTTACTTGTCCATTTTTGCGAAATATGTGTGCTCAGCTGTTCTTTATTTTGAGTGGATTGGGGAGTAAATTCTTCAATGGGTTAAGATTAGTATAATCTCTTCGATTCATTAGTTATTTGACTGTTATTAAGCTGTTTAGAAGAATTCTTCTATGCTATAATTGTTGGCTTAATTTTGAATGTGTAATGAGGGACATTTTCAAACGGCATGGGCGAAACATTTCCTTTGATAAATGAAGAATTGAAAAACTGCTCTTCACTTGTTGCTTTTAAGTCATTCTTGAAATTCAAGGCAACTCCTCCATTTCCAAGTTTAAATGATCCTTAGGCTTTAATACCTTCATAAAAGCTTTGTGATTTGTTTTACTTAATTGCCTGAGATTTTTAAAGTGAGTCATTATTCAATTATGGTAATGTTGTAGCTCTGCTGTTTCCATTTCCAGTTTACATAAGTTATTAAGGATTAAATTAGGTTTTCTACATGTTATTACTTGCTTAAGGTAGTGAATTATTATTAATTGTGTTGTGACTCATTACTGTTCCACTAGAGTTTAGTTGATTTTGCTAGATCATTCTGTAATTGTATTCTTCAGAGGTTTTATAACCCTGTTTTTATCTTAAATAAGTGTTGCCACTTAAAGACCTCATGCTTTGATTAATCTAACTATTAGTATTATTTTAATTGCTTTAAGATTGATTTTAATTTTGAGGATTTGCTGCAGGAAATCTATTTGATTATTGATGATTCTACAGCTATGTGGGATGATGGTTACTTAGTTGAGAGCTAATTACAATATCCTTGAATTCAAGAGTTCTTTGATTTGCAGTAATACTATTAATACTTTGAGGATGACCCTCAGATAATCCTCTTTAAAGATGAATTTATTGTAATAGCATAGCATTTTGATTAGGATTAGAGTCAAAATAGTAATTTTGAGGGTTATTAGAAGCTTATCTCTTATGAGTAAGCTAGTTCTCATCCATGATCATAGGTTTATTAACTTGAAGTTAATTCATAACATTAGGTTTCTTTTCAGTATGAAATGCATGAGTCCCATATTGTGTTTTATCAGGAGATTGTTAGTAAAGTTATTATTATTGCTAGACAAAAAAGTTATAGGGATCATTATTGTATTACATATTCATCCCCTAGCTGCTAGATGTTTACTTCAGAGTCATTTACGATTCCTTAATGTATTAGTTAATAATCTACATAGCTTGCATTCTATCTCTTATTGCAGTAAATTCATTTTTATTTGGACTTATGCTCTATCTTTTTTAACTACTTGGAATTAATACTCTATTTTTATTGGGATTTGAGACAATAACTGATTGGGAAGAGTTTGAATCCATGTTTCTAATTGAATCTATGTTGAATAGAGTTCTTTCTGGACTAGCATTGGTATTGCTAACTATTGAATACTCATTATTAACTTAGTATCTTGGTCTCGATGGAGAGATGTCAACATTAGTCTCATTCAAATCTTTCAATTATGCCTATACACCTTCATCTTTACTAGGATCTTCTTTTTTAGATTCTTCATTGTCAGAGCCTCTGTTACTCGTTTATGTCCAAGCATCTACCATTTCTACTCTTCGCATTCCATAGCTTTTTGGAAGTCTTACTCTATCAAAAAATGAACCCCCACTATTAAACTTCTTGGTTGGGGATTTTTTAGCCTAAGTCTGCTAAACCTTTTATTCCTTAATCTCCTCTCTAAAGATATTTGAAAAACGTTATAATAATTACTATTTAAAATGTTTCTTGATTGGTAATTACTGCTTTTTAGTATCTGTTTTTTTCTTGGCAGGGATCACCTTGATTGGAATGATTTTAGCCATCTCTTCCTCTTCCATATTGTCTTCTGAAGGATCACTCTCAGATCCTCCTCCATCTTCACCTCCGTCGTCCTTACTTCCAGAGACTAAGAGTTTTTTATCTCCCATCAGTTCAGCGATCAATTGCTTTCTAGTATAGTCTTTTAGTTCCTAAGCTATTTCTTCATTCAATAATTAAGGATTCACTTATTAAGTCTAGTTTTTCTTTTTTTTCTTTTTATTCTTTTGCATATCTCTTAGTGATCTTGGAACATCGATATCACAATAAATGAGAAGAGCGATACAAAGTTTCTTTCCAGCTTCCATAAATTGCTCAGTTGTGAAGTGAAGGCCATTATTTTTTCCTATCTCTGGACCACAAAAAGAAGCCTCCATAGTATATACAGCTGGAATTTTGAGTTCTTTCCACATTGAGACTCTAGCAGTTGCTTCCTTTGACCTGTGGATACTAAATCTAGACATATCAAATGCAAAGCAGTCTAGAACCTTAGACATGATGAAAGGAAATAGTCTAGTAGACTCTGGATTTTCAGAATAGTTATTGCCATACATGAAAATATTTTTATTTCTGCTATGCCCATGAAGATCACAGTATAGTACAATTTATCTTTCCTTTTAGAATTACTTGCAGAGCTTCTTTGTTTCAAATACTTCAGGAAATAATAATTTTGAAGGAGCCTTCCATCTTCTATTCAAGTCTGCACCAGCAAGAGAGCATCTGTAATTTCCATTAATAACACCATCAGGGTTTAACATTGGTACTATTTTAAAAACAAACTTCTCTCTGAGTACTTTTGCTTCTGGTGATTATCCAACCAAGAAATCAATTATGCCTTTCATCATCCAACTTGAATTACTTTCGCCAGGATGAATTCTTGAACTAAGAAATACACCCTTTCTCTCTGATTTTTACTGTAAAAATTAAAGATTAAATGCTTTACATCAGGATGATTCTTTGCTGTTATAGTTAAGTATTCACACTTATTTCCTGCTATAGTTCGACATAATACATTTCTACTGAGATACTCAGATTTTATAGCATCCTTTTCCATATTTGTGAGATCATCAGTCAAATCAGAATATGTATATGGATACGAGTAAGCGAAAAATACTGTATCTTAATCATGCTAGAAATCATATGTGAACGTCAAAGTGTAATAATATCATGACCTGCCGACGGAATCCTACTTAATATATAAAGGAGAATGTTACTTTTTTAAAGTTGTTTTAAAAATAAGCAATGTCTCTTCCATCTCTATGCCAGCCCACTCCTGTACTTTTGAATATTTCCTCAGAGTAAACTAGCACTTTCATGCCATAATTAAAGAGAGAATCAGGTTTGGTATGATTCAATATATTGAATTTAACAGTTGTTTCCTTAAAGATATTGGTGACTCTGTAAAAGAACCCTACAATATCTTAATAAAATATTTGGTTTTTTACATTAAGTGTGTCCTTTAGTGTTAATATCATTTGATAATACAAGGTTATACTCAAAATCGTTTGTTTTGAAAGCCATTGCTAAATTACCACTTTCAAACCTCGATTCAAAGACTAATGTCTTATCATTCTAATCAATTGGGGTATAATAAGGAAGAACAATAGGAGCTCCACTCTAGTTTGGATTCTTTTAATCAACGGAAATAAGTTCTTTGACATTAACAAGTAGTGTCATTGGATTTATTTCACTTTTGAGTATTTAGTAGGCACTGTTTTGATATGCTGATGCTGTTTATCCCATTTGAGATGAATGTCTATTATAAACAAGAGGGTTATTTTCATTTTATTTGAATTCTTGGATGAACAAAGTCTTTAAACTCTGCTCATTCATAATGGGGTTGTCTATCTTATATTTAGACTTGTCAACTACATCATCAAACTACTTAGATGGATTTTCAGGGTGATCTTGACAGAATGGTTTCAATTTCCTAAATTCAATAAATTGTAATAGTGTTACAAAAAAGGTGTAGGTGCACCAGTTCTTAGTGGTTCACTTGGAGCAATTGTTTTAGGGAGTAATGGTTCTGGAGGAGGAATTAAATCTTTTCCCAAATAAGCACTCTCTCTAAGAAGTAAATTAAGATTAATCAATTGAATATGATGTACTTATTAGTAATGTTTTCTATAGTTGTAGCGTTGAAATTATTAATTCCAGCGTCAGTTGTGCTCTAATGACCTTCATAAATTCAATCCTTGTTATCATCTTCTTCAGCGTTACTCAAGTCTTCAGCTGATGAGCTGCTACTCTCATAGCCTCTGTCATTTAATCGTTAGTTCAGTAACTCACTCTGCCTCCTTTATTAAGCTTAGAGTCGCTCATTTCTCATTATCTAACCTACATAAAAACATTAGTTTGGCTTTGAAAATTTCTCATACTTGATATTCTTCTTCTTGCCCCTGGGGTGTTTGGGTTTGATTCGCATATTTGATCGCTTTAGGATTATCATGAATAATCCAAATTGTGGCCCGCCTATGAATTGGAAGTGAAATTGTTGTCAGAGTCCTCAGATCTTATGTTATTATAATGCTGCTTGATTTCCTCCATGTTATATGCTTCTTATACTTTAATAATAAACGAATAAATTAAGTTATTAGACTTCAATCCCTGTTAATATTTTATCAGTTTAAATTAACATAAAAAATAGAATAGTATCTGATTGAATTTCATTTACGAAATTTCAGAATACTATCAAAGGTGGATGTTTCGATCCTTTCAGAGAATATTTTCAGTAATTCATAAGTTCATCCTTAATTTCACTCTATGCTGCTCTAAGGACCATCTTTATCATTAGTTCTCTTTTAGGAATAGCAAGTAGCATTGGCATAAGTTCATTTTCATCTCTCTGATCATCCGTCTTTGATAAAAGTTGCATCAAAGCTAGCTTCTCTCTATTTCCAATACTTAATCTAGCAGACGGTTTTACACTTCCATTTTATGATGCTTGCTTGTTATTTTTGCTTGGAGACATTTTATCTTTAGTCATGTTATCCTTTAGATCTAAATTCTGCACTTTCTCTTTCTACTGAGTAGGTATTTAAGGCTATTATTGCTGTTACTGGAGTAAACTTTGAACTTCCTCAAAGTATTATTCGGTATTTTTAGTTAGAATTCTAGTCAACGATGTCATGATTTCCATTCTTTTAAGAGTAGAATCTTCCATCGCATCGTTTGTGATTCCATAAATGAATTATCTCCAATTACCGTATTTGATAAAGAACTCATTCGACTATCTTTTAAGATAAATTTTGAGCAAAAGATTCCTGATATGATCAGTTATTGCATTCAATTTTTTTATTAAAGACTTTGATTTTTTAGATTTTCTGGGTAACAAATAGGCAGTGAGCTGAGTTTTTTCTTGATCAAAATAATTCTAGAGGAAATTCATTCGATTATTCATTGAAATTCTTTTACTTTTATATCTTCTCTGAATGTAAATTAGTTTTTAAATGAAACCAAGAAACTAATGCTTAAGGTAGTATTTTTGTGAGGTTTAGAGAAGAAAATTAAACATAGAATTCTAAGCCCTCACTTCAACACAGTCTTTTATGGCTATTCCACCACCAAATCTTAATGCACTAAGGAATTAAGTTAAAAGCTAATTTACCTCTACAGTATCCTTTACTATCTTTTCTTATATGTATTTCCTTATTTCCTAATATGCTATCCTACAACTCTTACAAGTTTTTTAGCACTCAACTTCATCTTTACAGCTCTTAGCATCTCCTTTCGCTGGGTTTCAAACTTTAAGAAAGCAGTCCTCATAGCGAAAAGTAGCTTCATTGCAGTTACCCATTCATACTTTCTCTTCTTGAGAACATTAAGTTTTTCGATTCTTACTCTGTACTCTTCCCTCTAAAATATAAATTATTCAAATAAAATACTTACTTTAAGCCTAATAAAATCCCATCTATATAACTAGAAATACTTCTTCTTTCTTAGTTCAGACTCTATTTCTTCCTTCTTTTACTTGGTGTATTAAAGCTTTTGATTCATTTCTTATACCTGATATTTTTTAGCTTCAACAACATTGTCCCATTCACTAAGTTAGGATTTATTGTGGCAAATAAAGTTTCTAGATGCCTGCTATTCATCAGGTCCTCCAGCTTTCCCATATTTCTGTTTCATGTACTCCTGATATGTTTCTATTAATGATGAACACATAAAACTAATTACCTTATAATGACTACTCAATCTCCTTGATATCTCTCTTTAAAGGCTTCAAAACAATATTTTCACTTATTTGTTCTTCTGCTGTTTGATTTAGCATACTCTCATCTTGATTCTGATTCTCTACTTGCACTTATGTTGGCTTCTTTACTATTACTTAGTAGTTTGGATCTTAAGGAAAAGTAACTGTAAGATTCACGCTGTGACTTTGTGCGCTATAGAGAGTAAAATAGATAAAATCCGGCTAATTCTTTAACTATTCTTTAGACTCTGGCTATCGACCAAATAAGAACACCCTTTTCTAAATTATCTCAAATACAAATATATCTTACATTTATGATAATTTTATCATTATAGTTTTCATTTGGCTCCTTATAACTTGTGCTCAAATACACTTTAAGATCTATTAATACTTTCTTAGGAATGTTTTTTTAAACTCCTTTCTACTGCTAAGATATATCTTTCTTGAAGTAGATGGTAAATTTAGCAGGCTAGATATACCCTCTTACATTAACCTTGCAAAACATATGTGTATTTTCAATTATTTCAATATTGTTGTTTCTTAAGGGATGGATAATCATGTGAGAGTCATCATTTGACACAATCCTAAGTAGTTTGTAGTTAAGGGATTTTATTTCTCTATTTGCTTAGACAAGTAGACTTGAACAGTCTTTATTGAGGCCAGGATCTACTTTTTATTTCTTGAGTTCCATTTAATCTAAAATTGAAAGCTGTTCATTCATTTTGCTATTGCTATTTTTAGTAAATGAGGAAAGTGAATCATTGACTTTAATCTTTTTCTACAAAAACGAATTAAAGTTTAGAGAGTGAGTCTCGTTGTCAGAGCCACCAGAATTATATGTTCTATCTATAGATCTTTGATTAACAGTAAACTCTTATGAAGCAGTTTAGTGTAGCATATCAGTTGTTGATTAAACTTGCTTATTTTATTATTTTTTTAGCATCTTTAGAGGAAATGCATTGTTACTACTACTATTTGTTGGATTATTTTACCGAGTCTAATACTTTTAGCTCTCCTCGTATCTGGTGTTATTTCTATCTTACGAATGATTAAATAGTAGATTTTTCTTTTAGGGCTTCAACTTTTTAAACTGGCCATTTCTCTGCTCTACACTATTTAGCAAACTTGATAAATGTATTTTCATAGGCAAACCCGAATTATGAGACATCCTAAAGCCTTAGTTTCTTGAAGTGGAATTCATATCAGCCTAAAGTAAACCATAATAATCAACTGAATCATTAGTATGCTCAACAAAATTTTTATTTTTAAGCTTCTTCAGAGATTTTTGAGATGCTCTCAAATCCAATACTTATTTTCTAGGCTCTTTGACTCTATCTAATGAATAATCGCGATCTAGTGATTCATTAAGTAAAGTACTTTGAAACTCCTTTCTATTTTTACTGGATGATTTTCTTTCCATCATACTTTATCTGCTAGATTCAACTTAGTATGCAGTCGATATCTATCTGTTTATATTGTTCCTATTTTTTCTCAAAGACAGAAAGGTTTTAGCATTTTAAAATTATTCTAAGGATTAGTTTGTCTCAGCTGCGCGTTTGAGTTTTTTTAATGGACTTTAATCAACATTTTCTTACTATTGTAGAGACTAACTGTAAACTATAGTTTAGTTATAAGCATTAAGATATTTTCTATAATATATTGTTTGATAATTACACTTTTTTAGAGTTTCTGCTTTGAGCTTTATGTTATATGGTGATTTCTAATTTTCTTATTCCAACTAGTGTTTTTTTAGACTATAGTCTTTTGTTAAGCTTTAAAGCTTCATTTTATTTTCTTTTTTATTCTCAAATATTATTTATTTTTTTTTACATCATGGGGTTTTGGGGTTTTGGGGTTTTGGGGTTTTGGGG